TTTAAATTCAAATAGTAGACCTTATATGGTATAGCGTAGTACCCTCCCCCTTAGACCAAAGTACTCCCTGTAGTATACATAGTACCCTTCCAACTTCACGAATTGGTAAAATACCCGGGTACTTTAGTCAACCGTTTACGGTAGCAGACGATTTTAATAGCCTTAATAACATATGTGTTAATAAATAGGGATCCGACGAACTCCCTTACTTCCAGAAAATTAAAATTGGTGCTCATTCCTACGTTCATTATTCACAATGCAAACAAAAAAATATCAGGACGAATTTTAGGATTTATAAAAATTTTTTAGACGTCATCTGTGTTATTGTATTAATTTACAATTATCAAAAAATATGAATAACTTAAATTTCAGTTTATCGCTTGCTTTCATTTTAAAAATATTGGGTTTTTTATTTTAATCAAGTAAAGACGTATTCTGGTGATTTTCATAACGAACTTGATCTTTCAATAACCGACGAGGGATTATTATAATATCTAAATTTTGCCGGCAATATAATAATAAGTGAATTTGTCAAATGCTTTTTCTCAATCTTTCACATAATATACTCTTACTTTCAAATGAATATATCATATGTAGTGATTGGAAACCGTCATTAAAATGTTAACCGGTTAACTGTAAATATTATTTGAAAAAAAAAAAAAAATAGAACTTATTAAACCCAACTGCAATGACAGCGAATCGAAAGTGTATAAATACAATAAATTTAACTTTATAATATAATATATATTTTTTAAATCTTGCACGCACTTATTAAAGAAATTTGTCATAATCCTAAAGAAATAATTAAACGTTGAAATTAACGGCTAAAAATCAACCGGCCGGGTCCAATCTCTCTCTTAGTATACTTAATAGCTTGCCAAATTTTTCCTTGTCTGTTTGCTAATTTTAATAAATAAAATTATTCCCGGGGGATAATTAATTTGTAATTAAATTTGTTCGCCTTAATTATCTAATAAAATAAAAAAGCCTTGTTTACCTACCATCAAAATAATAGTGTTATAAAAATAATCAAGAAATAATTTTGCTTCACTCGATGAACTTTCATGAATTACTATCTTTTTTATAACCATCCAATTGCTCGCGCTAAAATTATTTTAGTTAATGGATAGGTCAAATCAAAGCTATAGTAAAAATTTGTTACAAGATAAGAAGGTAATTGAGTATGTCTTCCACATCACATACATTTTTTCTAATGGCAAAACATCATCTTGGCACTTGATTTACTTATGTTACAAAACAAATCCTTTAATTACACTACACTGGCGTCGTGTCATCCGAATAAATTTTAATCCATCTAATGTTTAAATTATTTAGTGAATATAATCAAAGAGTTATAATATTCTAAGAAACTGATTCAGTATTTGTTAATGAATAATAATTAATACACGGATAAATTTTTTTAGGTATGTTAAATTTATTCTTTTTATTAAGCCTTTCTAATTATTATAATTTCCTTTTCAGAAATTTTATAAATATAAAAGGAAATGATTACTTTTTCACTTTTTAAGGTCGTAAAAATTCAACCAACAAAATCATTTGGAATTTGTATACGAAAAAAAATATTTTGTCAAAAAAAGTTTTTATTAAATTAATTAAGTAAAGTAATAAAAAATATTGTAGTTTACTATATTTCATACTTATGATTCATTTTCCCACAAAGAAATTCTTCGAAAATATTAATCATTTCACTTTTTCTATTTCATATCGGTTATAAACGGACTTTTCTTTTCAGACTTTTCTCGTTCGTTAATTAGTTGACTCAAATCACCAATGGGTATACAATTGATTCTGTTTGATTCATAAAAAGTTCAAAAATTATCTTCAACTTTATTAAAAATTAAAACACGACTTTCTCTAAATCGTGATTCTATTTAATGATTAAAATTTCCTGTTCTATAAATAAAATTTGGTATAATATATTAAAATTAAATCTGTACACTAATAAAAAACACTAATAAGCATTCTATTTATTATAATAACATATTCTCTATTTAAAACTATATAAGATCTTAAAACTTCATCTTCCAGCAATTGATAATTCTCTTGCTTTAGCATGTTTTTTCACGACTTGTCTCCAACTTGTTAAATCCACTCCTAATTTTCTACCCAAAGTACCAATTGCGATATCCAAGTTAGTTGCAATCTCCTGGAATTTTGTTCGCGTTGGTCGATGAGAGGACACACGTATTGCAATTATGAGGGCTCTTCGCAAGTTTGCTCCAACCTATCACGTGGAAATATAAAGTTAAAAATAAAAGAAAAAACCAAGAATACAAAAAAAAATATTTCTCAAGTGAAAAATATCAATGCTTACGTTCATTAACGTTTCGGTATCACCCTTAATTGTTGGGTTCCTTTCCAATGTAAACACATCAGCCAATACATCATAATAGAATCCGCTAAAAACCTATCCAGATTATAAAGAAAGTAAGTAAGAAGGTCAATCAATCAATGATATAATAAGTAGATTAAGCTTACCATCGATAAATCATGTACTTCGGTTCCAACTTTAGAACCTTTAAGTGTGTTGGATAAATTTCTCAACCCTTTTCCTTTATTGTTGTACAACGCATCACCAAATTCTTCCCCCATAGCAGATAAGAAATTGTCTGGGGCTCTTAAATTCGCTTTTGTCGTGGTGATGAATAAATCTGCAATTTCCGCCTAGTAGATTTAAAAAAATATTGGGACTTGATATTAATATTTTTTGTGATCAATCTCACTTTTATTTTTTTTTTTTTTCGTTTCCGTACTTACCATAGAGATGAGAACAAATAAACTGCACAAATCACCAAACGCTTCATGGAAAGCACCAGTTTGTCCATCAGCTTGCCAATCAGGTTGCAAGGTATCCAAGAAAGCGTGACCAGCTTCATGAGCCACCACATCAATACTTCTACACAAATAAATTGGTCGATCACTGCCTTCAAACGTATAAAAGAATCTCAGAGCCGCTTCGCCACGACTGTAATAAGCGTCAGCCTTTTCTCCAGCATGAGGTTCTATGCTAAGCCTCTTATCATTTCCCCAAGGTCGTTCTAATACGGGAGGACGTCCGTCAAGATATTCCAAGTCACCGCTTAACACGTTAAATACGTATCGAACGACCGAAAAGGTATGCACAACGTCAAATCGAATATGATTGTCTGATTCAGGAACTGTTGGAGGTGTATTATCGAATGTTAATAAGAAATCTCCATTTTCATCAGGAGTTATTGGGCTTAATGTTGATACTGTGTCGAACCAAGAATCATTCGGTCCGGCGGTTATGTCAGTGTTTATTAAGAAAAGTTCCCGTATTCCGATCTGTTTGACAGATGGGTCGGCCTTCCATACTCGAACTCGTGTTCCTGAACCAGGTGATGGAGATGCTTCAGTAATCAAATTATGTAAGCGAGTGGCTAAATGATTTGCACTCCTATAACGTGGGTTGCGCATTTGAAAGAATAAAATAAAATGAGTATACGAATCAAAAGGTTTTAAGATTTACTTTAGGGTTGATTGATTACCTTTGCCATATATTTTGAATGTATTCAAACAATACAAAAGGTAATCTCATCGGTGATTTAAAATTATAACTAAAAGATTTCTTATTTGAAATTGGATCAAATTCAAGTAATTTTCCGTTGTGTCCAATCACAATTGCTTTATTCGAGAAATCTATTTATTTTCAAAAAATAAAATAAAAAATTTAAATTATCGTTCAAAAAAAAAAAAAAAAAAAAGAAGTTTTAATTACCTGTATGGGGAACGAATAAAAAGAGTTGTTCTGATTTTGGAATCACATCATTATTGTATTGTTCACCATCAGAGAATCCTAAAGTTCCAGACTGAATATCTTCAATACCCAAAAATTGCCCTGAAGAATTACGCCATGCTACTAGCGGAACAGTAACTGAAAATAAAAAACATATATATTTTGTATTATTATTTAAAATCATTACTCTACAAATACAAACAAAATAAAAATGATGAAGTATATTACCAAGATTAAGGTCTTTTAAAATATATTCAATCTTTGCGCTTTCTTGCGCGTATCCAATTGAATAAGCATGTGTCTCTGGATCCTCAACAAGATATACAGCGGATTCATGCCAATTATTATCGGGTCTATTATAAGATAACGTCACGTAAATATACGTTCGGAATTATTTGTTATGCAACTTTTTTTTTAAAAAAAAAAAATTATTCATACTTGCTATTATTACCCTTAAGAGATCTTCCTAGATATGTTTTATACTTCTTATTATACAAGGCATAAAAGTTACCGTAATTTTCTATAAATATCACGTGAAAATTAGTTGGCGATGGTTCTTGTACAGGAATTTAAAAGAGATGATGAACGAAAGTATCTATTTACCGATTCTCCATAGCTGGGCGGGATCGGAGAAATTATAAAGTTCGTTGGTGATTGATCCGTCCTCATTCATTGAGATGGCATGTTTGAAATCATCAATGAATGCAAAATATCTATAAACTTGTTCACCGTCCGAAGCAAATGTTGGATCGTTTGAAACGTTGAATGGAAGGTCAATATTAGGAAGTTTCCAGCTAATTTTCACTAAAGAATAAGAAATAATAGATAATAAAATTTTAATAATGCATTAGCCGCGTTTTTAAAAATTTTGGGCGGTTGACAAAAATGCTCTACCATATTTTCCGGATAAGGCAGGTTCCAGGCCATTAGGATTTTCTGCAGGATAAGGACCGCCAAGACTTAATTCAGCAATATTACTTCCTATCCTAGAACTCGATTCTTCGAAAAAGTTCTCTCTTGACCAACCAGACAATTGATCAAAGTAATCTGAAATATATAATGGAAAATTGGTTTCTATATCCTTTAGAGCATTGATAGGTGTAATACCAGTCGACCAAGTTCCGTTTCCTACACATGAAACAATATTGGCAATGGTTTTTCCAATTTCCACGAAATGATCAGGAGGGGCATTCAAGACTGTAGAAAGTTCATTGATAATAGAGGTGGCAAGTGAACCAATCCAATCTGCTGATACCGTGTAGATTGAAGATTCATGTCTTGGTGGAGTGGTTTTATTCGCAATATTCTCAAGTATAGATGATACCGTTTCTTTGGGAAGTTTACAAGCGATACAATCCGAATAACGATGAGATAATCCTCCTAGAGTATCTCTATCGTACGGTTTTTGAGCTGATACCTGAAATGATTTTTGAGTAGTCATGTTGAATCGATGGTATTTTATTCTTAATTATTATTAAAGATGATTTTAATTACAAAGATCTGAATAAAATTTTCGTGAATGGAGAAATATCGTATTTATATTTGAAAAGATCATACTACGACCAATTTAATTTAGACCAATTATGTAAACATAAATGGAAAATTCGAGGCAAGAGACACCAATATACAAATCAATGAATTTACATAATCGGCATCAAATTTCCGATTCAAACTTCCTTGGTTGAACGATCAAATGTATTTTATTTTTAACGTGGGAAACGTGTTGCAGATCAACCCGCCAAAACAATAATTTATTTTTACTTTGAGATTGTAAGCTAACCTTATATGTAGATTCATAAAAGTTGAAAAAATCTATCATTTAGTTCTAGTCCTTGTCTAAAAATAAATATTTGTTTGTAATTTATTGAATCTTAAGACTATTTAGGACATTTGATTTACGAAGCCTCGAAATTCAAGCCAATAGAATGTTGATTTTTTAGGTAGACCGTGAATTTATGAATGACGTAAGGTTATATAACTTTTGCTTTGCAACAATTACGCCGCGTGTTAATTTATATTGTTGTGTGATATACCGTAATAAAAAGTTAAAAATACCAAATTCTTCAACAAATTTTTGATATGACAATGCACGCTTTCATTTCGTAAAGAGAACTAATCCAACATCATCTCAAAAAAAAAATTGATAAAATTTATCATTTCATAAATCACGTAAAATTACTACGTAGAAAATTTATTTTTTTGATTCTCACTCGATAATAATGAAAAAAAGATAATTTACTTGATTTTGGATGATGGATGATGGCCAAATTTGTTTGATTCGCGCGGATGAACAAATTTGTGATCGAAACCAATTGTCTTTGTAAGATAATACGTATTTATTGTTTTATCGTTACTTCAAGTATATTGATTAATTCAACTTGTTATCAAATGCAATAAAAACTTTATTGAAATTTTAACGTTTCACGAAGCTTAGGAAATGATTTTATATCAAAAGCTTATTTAAAGATTTGAAGTATCATAATTTTAACTCTGCTTAATAAGTTCAATGCACCACTAAAAGAAATAAAAACTTTATTTAAACTATAAATAATTAATTGAATAATAAATTTACTTAATTCACATACCTCATCATTGCCACAAAGTCTTTCATTATGACAGACAACCTCTTGAAAAGTATAATTTCCAATAGTAAATTGAAGATCATGACTACGTAAAAATACTTGCCGATTATAATTAATACTAAGATTAATAATATCATTTGATTTCAAATATCCCTTATTATTAAACTTCCATTGAGTATAATGGTAACTATCTTTTGGGTTACAACTTACTAAAATTAAATAATACATCAATATTAAACCCTTTTTTAAAAAATATATTTTGAAATAACAAAAATTAATGACTACCTTCCGTGTGCTGAGTTACTGGAGATTGGTACTGGTTATAATGATAATTGAAAAAAAGTCCAAGAGAGGCTCTAGAATTTTTGTGTTGTAAACATATATTAGTATCGGTGTATGAAGCTAGTTCTTTACCGCTCGTAAATGTAATATTCCATAAAGCATCCGAATCAAGCAAATTATTTGCAAAGACCTGAATTTATTAAATTTTATTAAAATTTAATAATACAAAAAATTGATCAAACGTAAAAAAAGGAATACCAATTGAGTCTTGCTTCCAGTTGTGTAGCATAAATCCTTAATTGAACTTAAATATTTTCCTGTAGCAACGTGTTTTAAAGCTACAATAGATCCGTTTCTGATTAAATTTGTTTCATCTATAGTAATTTTCCCAAATTCTTGGATTAATTCATTTGTTGATTTGATATTTTTCATTTTCTTATAAAATTCATTCCAAATATAATAATCATTTGAAAGTGAAAAATAAAGGTAAGTCTTTTGTTCTTGTAAATTATTGATTTCAGCATCACGGCAGAGTTTACGAAATTTATTAATGAATTTTGAAGGTGCGCCACCTTCTCTTATGGGAATGTATTTTAATGTTTGTAATTCTCTTCTCATTTGTGCTTTTAAAATTGAAAATGTAATATCTGCTTTTAAAGCATTAATAAGTGCATCAAAAGTGGAAATATTTTCAGGAATTTTAATTGAAGAATCGATCATCATTTTTGCAATTTTAAGGACGAATTCATCATTTGTAATTTGTTTAAGTAAACAAGTTGCTTGAACTTGTTTCAGCCATTCGCTTGGATGAATACTTCCATCATATATTGGAAATTCCATTTTGGAATTTTGGAAAAAGAAAATAGTGACTTACTAAATCACAACTCAATTAAGTTATTGAGATCCAAATAAAACATATTGTGCGACAACAGGAGAATATAAATAAGGAATTTTTTTAACTCGTTTTTACCTGTAGTGTCGTACAGCATTTTTCGTTATGCAAACTCTTACCCTCCGTCCATACTCCTCTTTGAAGAGTCTAATTCTTCACCGACCTGCACCACTGTAAAACGAATTTCGGTATGAAACTTATTGTTGTTTGTTGTGGTCAAAATTGCATTTCCTCAAAACATTGAAAAGAGGTATTGGACTTGAATTTAACGTCCCAAGAAAGATTTTCAATCGTTTAAAAATCAATCATTTTACCATATGGTCTGCAAAGAACACGAAAAGAGTTCGGTAAAAGAAGTTGGACATAGTGTTATATCTATTTGATCTTCCTGCTGATGGAAAAGGCCATACTTAACTGCGATTTAAGAACGTACTCTTTTCAATAAAATATTGTACTAGTTGTTCATTACTTAATAATGTTTTACAATCATAACTTTGATTTAATATATTCTTTTTTATAGATAAATTTGAGGGTCCAAAGTGGAAAAAATTCCGTGAAAGCTTTTAAGCATATGATGCAATGTACATGGCACACACCAACTGTTATCACTTATGAATAACCATAGATCACAAATCCTTTCAACGATGATGCTAATTGTAACGCAGATGATCGAAAATTCATCAATGTGTTCGTAAATAGGGAAGGAAGTGTCCTGAGAAGAATGAAATATAAGGTTTTTGACGCTCTTTGAAAATATTTTTACACTCATTGACATTTTTATATCTAGCACGCAGTGTTCGGTCGCGTACGAAAAAAAAAATAGTGGTAGACATCAAGTTGGGAACAAGTCTATAACAGGAGAGCGAGATCGATTCCACATAAGTATGAATTGGTTGACGGACGAATTGTAGACCTGAAGACTGTAGCAGATGATTTCTTAGGGAGTTCCTTTGAAAATAAATTCGGTTTTGATTTTTACAAATTTACTTTTATTTATTCTGATCTTCAAATATCAAGCAGCAAATCTTAATGAAAGTCGTGGGTAAAACTGCATTCGAATCAAAGAGCATCATGATGTGGGAATGAGTCATCATTGATTTGTTGATTTCAAAAAAAAAACCGCATTTGAAGCCAATGAATTCTTTGAAATAATTTATTTTCGTTATATCTGGAAAAAAAAATTATGTCTCGTGTGGTAGATGCTATATCAGGAAAAACGCAGTATGTTCCATAAATAAGGCTGTGATATACATTTTAGAAAAATGTACAAAATAAAATATTTATATTAAAGTCATTAAGACATAATTATTTGTATAAAATAATTGTTCACGAATGATCAAAGTTGAATAGCGAGTTTAACTTTTAATTTTATTTTATAGGATTCACGTTAAAAAGTCAGAGATCAATTCGTAAAAAATTTTTTTATTAATAGAAATTAAAACACCACTTAACTAGATTACATAAATTAAATTAGATTCGAAATGTTCGACAAAACTTAACTTGATCTTACCTTCGCCATTTACCATTAAAAGTCTAAAAAATCGTTTTAGCACTTTCTACCTAGTTCTAAATGATGATCCTAAATTTTACGTATAGACATTATTGATCTTTCTTTAAAAATCAACCTATAATATATATCCTTTCTCGAATAGTAATAAAATTTTGATTATTGCGTTTTAGCTTTGATGTTATACCTTTAATTCATAAATTCATAAAAAAAATTGAAACAAAAATACTAATAATTAAATAAACTGAAAGGAGATAAGTCAAATTTATTAATTAAAAAAATATGGTTTCTTCGATCCCTCTGATCTTCGTCCATTTCTTGATCGTGATTAAGGTCTATTCCTCTCCTATCACCTCTCCTAATATAAAATATATAAAAAAAAAAAAAATTTAGAGTAAATCCTTCATTCATGCACAGTAATAACGCGCCGCACGTAATAGTAATTATTATTATTAATATTCTTAATCCATAAATATTATAATAATCATTGATTATTACATTTGTTTGATATTTTAAGAGTTCTTTTGTAATATTATTTCTATAAATTGAGAATATAATATTCTTTTCAAGCAGATTTTTTCTTAATTTAAAATTTAATTGTATATTAAATAAAGTATCAATAGCTCAATTAGATATACCTGAATAATCTAAAAATATCATGATATTTTTTTTAATGTATTAATATACTTATCTCTAATTATAGCAAGAAAATGACATAAAAAAGAGCTTTTTCTGTCTTTATGAGATAGTATGATTTAAAAAACCCCTAACACTTGAATTAATTTATTTTTTAAACATATTGAAGAATAGTAATATATATTTTTTTTCTTTTATATAAAGAATCTGTACCTTTGATCTAACACTTTCAATAAAATTAATTTCACAAATTTCACTTATCTCAGATGTTAATTTATTTTTAAATCTATAATTATCAAGATTTATCTTTGAATTATTAGATTTAATTCCTTTTATTATTAATCTAAGTTTACTATCATCAGAGTTGATTCTCTTTATCATCAATTTATCTCATAGCTAATTAAATTTTTAGCATTATTTTAAAGTAATAGTATCCTTAAAATTCTTAGAATATATACTGTTTACAATACAGCTCATATAGTAATTATGACAAAACTGAGTATTATTTAGTTATTAAATAGTATTTAAAGTTTCATGCTGTAAAGTTTTTTATTTAGTTTTCTCTATAAATCTTAAAAACTTTATTTCATATCCTTTTACTTCACAAATAACACATGACTTAGAAAATTTTAATTTTCTATTATAACCTTCAGAATTACTAAATATACCTATTGTAAATTGTGTAATTAATAGGATTAATTTTTAAAAATGATTACAATAGATTTCTAAGAATGTAATCAAATATTTTTTTAGTATTACTTAAAAAGAAGGTCAAGATTCTGGAATTTTATCCTATTTTAAACTGTATAAAAAGCTAAATTACATAATTTTGTATAATTGTATATTATACAAATATCTAATATACTATAAAAAAGAGAGAAAACTACCAAAAAATTTTTTTTACTCTATAAATTAAATATTATTTTTTTTAGTAAAATAATTTCAGATTTAATATTAATTCAAAAAAAAAATTTTTAGTAGTTTCCTCTTTTTTATTAGTATTCATATAACTTATTTATAATAATGAATAGTAAAATCTATTTTTATTAATTTATACAGATAGTGGTTTTGATCATCAGGTTAATTATTTATAAGTTCAACTTTCTTTAATTTTCTTATTTATTACACTAGATTTAGATTTATTAGTAGTAATATATATATCACTAGAATATTCTTGAAAAATCCTATAGAATATATAATATCTATTTTAAATCTAAAATTAAAGTATATATAATTAATAAAAATAGAAATAGATGAAAAATATGAAGAAATTATAAAATATTATAATTTAATAAAAGAAATTTGAAATAAAGTCAAAAATAAGTTACAATTAAAAAAATAATTATTAAATAATTTATATAATACTATTGAATTAATGGAAAATTTAATTAAAAGATTTGAATTACTTTACAAAAACTTTGTTTTCTTACTATATAGTAATTGCATAGTATCTATTAGGTTACCATTAAGCTACTACTAAATAAAATAGTAACTATATATTTACTATATAGTTACTTTACAATTACTGCATATTAAGAAACCAAATTTCTGTAAAGTAAAGCAAAAACTTTTAAAATAGCGTCAGATGAAGAAATAACTATATTATAAAATTCATTTTTTTTTAATTGATAATTCTTTAACAATGAATGATAATTCAAAAAAAAGTATTTAAAATAAATCTTAATTTTTAGAATTTTATAACTATTGTTATAGGTTATGATATTATTTTTTTAAAATTAAAAGTATGAATTATTAGATTACAATATATGTAAACTTATGAAATGTGATCCTAAAACTTGGCAAAAAATATAAAAATTTTGAAAAATTATATGGTTAGAAAACTACAAAAGAATTTAGATTTTCTTTAAAATGAAATAAAGAAGTTAAAGAATGAAATAAACTTTAAGTCTAATGCATAAAACTGTAAAGATTTACTACTTTTATTCAATGTGAAGAATGTAACAAATAGCATGTAATTTATTTAAAATCAAAATTATCTTCAGAAAAAAAGAAGAATTAACAAGATTTTTAAATAAAATTTAATATATAGAGACACAACTAAAAAAATCTAGAACTCAGACTGATTACGTGATTTTGAGATTTTGTAATAATCATATACTTAAAGGTGTAATCTTTTAAAATAAATTTTTTTTTTAATAATATAATAGTAAGAAAAGTGTAATATTAATTTTTTTTCATCCCTTTTTACTTTAAAAACTTTCACATTTTTTGTTTAAGCATAACATTTATTTTACTAATGACAATGCAAATAAAAATATATTGGTTACTTTAATAGAATTGGACAATATATTTTTGAATAATAATTTAAGATTTGATAGTAAAAAAATATATCAAATAATGAGATTTCATCTAATAACTCTAATAATGTTGAAGATATTGAAAATCTTGAAGAAAATTTTAATGAAATACATTTAAGTAACTGTGAATATGCAGAAAATTTTGTCAATTATATTGAAGATAAAGTTTATGATAATTTGAAATTAAAAATAAAAGAGTTTTTTGATAATGGAAAATGCTCATGTAATTCTAAATGTTATAAAAAAATTGATTATAAATATTTTTTATAAATCAGATAGAATTTGAAAGTTTAGACAAAAATATGTTATTAAAGAACAACTTTTAGCTTTTTAATAAGATGAAAATATGAAAAAATTGATTGCTAATAATAGAAAATTTTTATGCTTCAAATATTATTTTAATAATAGTCTTCTAATTTATTATATTATATATCAAACTCTTATCAGAATTAGTTATTCATATTTAGATGCTAAAAAGTATTTACAAGAAAATAATCTTAAAGAACGTGTATATAGTAATACTGTAAAGTTTTAAAAATAAAAAACTAAGTTATTATATATCATGTGAATTTTATAATTTTTTAAAAAATTATGTTAATATATATGATTTATTCTCACCTAAACAGAATCTTTATAAAACATCAATACTAGTTATATTTCTTTCAACAAGTTACAGTTATGTATCTATATATTGTAATTATATACAAGCTTATAAGAATGAACATGAAAATGAAATATAAGTTATATGTGAAACAATTTTTTGTAGAATCTAAAAACTTCTAATACTATTATTCCAGTTTATATTTTCAAAGTCTGATTTATATAAAACCTGTGAAATAATAAAATTAAATATTTAGTACACTACAGAAAATGAAAAGAAATTGATAATAATAAAAAAATATTTAGCTCACTTAAATCGTGCAAAATAAGAATGTAATTATTACAATATTAATATTATAAATGCTGTTGAAAATGGCAAATGTAATCCAAATGTAATTGGCTCTCAGATATTATTTAAATCTTTTAAAAATAACACTTATATTTCATATGATTGGACCTAAAATGTATAAATTCTTTATTTACCTTAGCAAATAGGTTTCATATTCTTTAAAAGTCCCCAAAAAATACATTTGTTTAGAATTTGTAATACTTAAAACTTTTCATATACAGAACAAACTAATTATGTAATTGATGAGGTTAAAATGCCCTATTATCATAAACAAGAGAAGGGAGTAAATTATACAATAAGTTTAGTTTAGCATGTATGCTATTCAAAAATATAATCATGAGAAAAAAAATTGGTTATTACATATGAAAATTGTGTTAGTCTGAACAAGAATAATTATTCTTTATTTTTTATTTATGGTTAATTAATCATGATTTATATGAAGAAGTTAACTTAAATTTTATGATACTTGGTAATACTAAATTTATCTGTAATAGCTTGCTTTGGCTTAATTAAAGTTCCTTATTAAAAAGCAAAGTAAATACCATAAATAACGTAATTTCTGTTATTGATCATTCTACTATGGTTTATCTTAATGTTTTCTAAGGTTTTTTGAATAGAGAGAGTTTTCAATATTATAATTTTAAAGATTACTTTCAAAAGTTCAAAAAAAATACCTTATATACAAAAACAACATTACTTTGATTTCACTTTACAGCATCTTGAGATTGTTTTTTATAAAGATAAACTTGAAGATGATTATAAAAAACTACAATTTGAAACTTTTCTTTTGATACTAATATTCTACCTTCTACAATTGGGATTAAATCTCTTTCTTTAAAATAACAAGAAGAATTGTATAAAGAAATCGCACTTTATGTTGATTTACCTTTTCGTAACATTACTTGTCCTAAGCCAAATGAACATAAATCAGATTAAACTAAAGTGTTGTAATTAGGTTCTAAATTTTAAAATATTATTAAATAAAATAAAATTGTTTTTTGCTCACTTATTTTACTCTTATTGTTACTGATGTTGTCATTACATTATTATAATCTTTTTTATATTCCAAACGTTAAAATCTAAAGTTCTCAGAATGTTTGTTTTTTTATGAAATAATTGCTAACTTTATTAAAAATATGGGTCTTTGCAATAGAAAGGGAGGAAACTCAAAAAAAAAATAAAAAATGAGTTAATAATAAATCTGAACAAATTATAGTATTTGGAACATTTTTGGCTTATAAACTAAAATTTTAATTTTTTTGGAGTTTCCTCCCTTTCTATTGTAAAGGCCCCATATGTATTATATAAATTTTATTATTTAAATAAAAAAATATGCATAAAAAGAGGGAAAAGAAAGGTCCTTGATTTCAGTTTGAAAAATCAGTTTTTTTTGTAATAATCGTCAAAAAATTGATTGGTTAATTTAAACCTCGATTTTCTCGAAATTACGTTACCCGGCTTTTTCTAGCCGCGTCTCCAAATGTGATGAAACTTTTTATAACTTAGCTAATTCTATAAATATGCAAGATTCTAATAGTACAAATGATTCTATGAAAAGATTATTCTCTATAGTTAAAGTTAATAATGTAATAGTCCTATTGAAGCTTCATATTATTCAAGTGAATTATTTAAAGCAGCATTTTGTTTTAATTATAGTGTATAATTTGAAGAATATATAAATTATGATAAATATTTTCCATATTGTGAAGAATGCAACACATTAGTTAGGAATAAAAAAAGAAGGAGAAAAGAAAAGAAATTTGTAACCAATAAACAAAGAAATGTTAAAACTAATGAGTTGTAAGAAAGGAATTATACATAACGACAATATAATAAAGCTTTAATCTACCAATAAAATTACAATTTATAGTCACATGATAAACTTTTTCATATAAACTTTTTTTTGTTAAAATTAGAAAAAAGTGCCCCGGCCGGGTGACGTGAACCAAAAAATCGAAGTTGCATGGCCTAAGTAAAATAGTGAATAAATCTAATTTTATTGTCCAGAAATGAATTTTATTATAAAAAAAAAAAAACATGCGATGCTATAATCTGTAATGCCTTCTTCATAATATTACAACCACAAAATATTCTATGTGGTTGAAAATAAAATTCTCTCGTACAAGTTGAGAAATAATCTATTACTTTTATGATTTATGAAATGAATATTAAATTAATTTGTGGTCAAGCTACTATAATTAATTATTATTGCGCTTTAATCATTTTTAAATTATTTTAAAAAAAAAAAAATTTCGGCATGGAATCAATTATTTACCCTTAGTAGTAAGTTCATCAAAGTTAAAGAAAAAGGAAATTTGGATAATGTTGAGATATATAATATGACGAACGATCGAAAAGATTTGTTATTTCTATAATCAAAATTTTTATTTCTGCTTGATAAGCTTAATGCACCACTAAAAGAAATAGAAGTACATATCTAATTAAAAAAAAGGAGAAGGATTCATTACAATAAATAATTCACACATACCTCATCATTACCTCCTAACCTTTCATTATGACAGACAACTTCTTAAAAAGTATCTTTATTAATGGTGAATTGAAAATCATGACTACGTAAATATACTCTTTGACAATTATTCCTTGTAGCACTAAGATTAATAAAATCATTTGATTTCAAATATCCTTCATAATTGTCTAATTTACTATTATTAAACTTCCATTGATTTTGTGAATAACAACTTACTAAAATAAAATAGATATAATAGATATCATTATTAAACCTTTTTTCAAATTTATATAAATTATATAGATTTTACATACCTTCTGTGTGCTAAGTTACTGGAGATTCAAAATAACCACCATAAATTCCTAAAAAGATTTTAGAATTCTTGTGTTGGAAATATATATTAGTTTCGCTGTATAAGGCTTGTTCTTCGTTTTCCGTAAATGTGATTTTCCATAACGCATTATTATCAAGCAAATTATTTGCAAAAACCTAAATTTATAAAGTTTAATTACAAAAAAAATTATCTATTGTAATAAAATATCAATAAAAATCATACCAATTGAGATCCGCTTCCAGTATTATAATTTAGATTTTTAATCGAACTTAAATATTTTCCTGTAACAACATGTTTTAAAGCTACAATAGATCCATTTCTAATCAAATCATGATTATACTTAATTATTTCCTCAAATTCTTTGATTAATTCACTTATTGAACTGATATTTTCCATCTTCTTATATCCATCTAAAAGATATCTATCTGGAAGTGATGAATAAAGATATATCTTCTGTTCTTCTATATCATTAATCTCAGCATTGTAACATAATTTACGAAAATTCGAAATAAATTTTGAAGTTTCGACGCCTTTTCTTTCAGGTATGTATTTTAATAATTTTAACTTTCTTTTATTTGTATTTTTAAACATCGTAAAGGAAATGTCCTTTTTAAGCGCATCACGAAGTTTTTCGAAACTATCAATTCCAGTTGGAAGATTGATGCTAACATCTACTAATGATAAAGCTTCTGAACAATCAAATTTAAAATACATTTGTATATCATTTATCCATTCATCTGGATGAACGTCTTTTCCATTATATTTTGAAGTTTTCATATTTTTTTTCCTTTCTTTCTTTCTTTATTTTTTATCAAATAAAGGGAAAAAGGTGTACTTTTTGTTAAATTTTTTAATTTTTTTATGACAAATTTGAATGTGAGCAACATTACAAGTTGATCATTTGCCATCATTTACCAATTGTGGCATCTTACTCCTTTCGATAATCACGTCTAATAATAATCATCAATTTGAAAACGTGGTGTGAGTAAATATTGTAGTAAAGTTTATTGCAACAGAAAGAAAAAAGAAAATGATTTTGTATGAAATTTCGTAAAAAATCCTCGTTTATAAATACCAATTTAAATCATTTCATTTATGACCTGGATTTAGTAGAGTAATTTTTAATTCCATTCCTCAATTTCTCCTTTTTCTTGATTTCAAAAATTTTCAGAGGAAGGAAAACATAATAAAAAAACCAAATGTTTCACCAAAATAATTAATCATATGTCGTATAATAATTTATTCTGTGTGGTATTATAAATAATTTGTAAAATATGAGGTTTTTTTAATTTGAATGATAAAGCGTTATATGTTTTAGTTTTGATAAACTTTACTTTTAATGACGTGAAAAAATCAATGCAACCATTTATACACTTTGCAATTTGTTTCCAAATTCAATCAAGGATTTGAATTTAACTCGAAAAGCTATGAATTGAACTAACCAGCCTTTATATCATTACAGGAAAGATTTAATCTGAATTAGCCATGACAAGATTTATGAAATAATATTCTTGAAAAAAAAAAAAAACCAACGTTAAATGTCATTTTGTATTATTAAAGAGATCAACTAAACATTTTTAACATTTTGCTTTGCTTTAAAACTATCAATTAATTAATATCTTACATACTGCGTATGATTTGTTCTTAGCTTCATTGTCAAGGTGATCGGATCCAAAAAAAATTTAGGGGTAAGATTGTCCAAAAGTAAATAATTATATATATGTTTGTTTCATTAATTTCCTCTGCTTTGGCTATTTAGACATTTTTATAGTGGTATTGTACAACGACTATTGATAAGTTACTCCGTTGATCTTACAGTAGCGATCAAAAATAACGCATCACCTAAATGAAAATATTTAAATAAAAATAACTTTTCATATAATGCTCACAAAATTAT